TAAACATGAATCAGGCGAGCCATGAAGTAGAACGGGCAAAGTGCAAACCTGTCCAATGAGCATAATTAAACCGGCCACCGCGCTTCGTATGTTAACAACTTTCTCCAGAAATAATAACAAATATGTGAACCACATGCTGGCACACAGGTCATTGTAGAAATGACCAATTCCATAACCAAATATCTGACACCCGTTCAGATCATTTACCAAGTCCGTATTTACCTGAAAGCTGAAAACGTGCAACATTTTGGGAGGGAGCTACGCATCGTGTGTAACGTAAAAATTTATGCCAGTACACTGACGACATGACCGTGAGCACTTTTTTTTTGGCTTGCTCGGCCCCGACGAAAATAGGAAAATATTTTAAAGTTGGAAGAAGACAAAAGCAAATACGTCAAAAAATTAGTAAGAGCTGTAAAATATTGCAGAATATTAAAAAAAATTATTATAATAATTATAAGAAATGTTTAGATCCATTAAGTCGTACACATTTCTTACCACTACCACAACTGGACCTCGTCAATTAGACGACTGTGGCAATCAATGTAAATTTGAGTTTAATTTTAAATAGCTATGTTATATTAAGAGATTTGGAACGACACTGTCTTGTGCTCCAAACCTCAAAGTTTGACGCTTGCTCACTTGTTATGGGATTAAGACCAAAATTCGAATTCAGGCTCGAAATCAAAGATCAAGTCAAAGTAAGATATGATTGCTACTTTTAGTTTTCACGCAGGATTATCTGAGACCAAAAGGCTTTCGTGTCCTAGAGCTCAAAAATCAGCCTCAATTAGAAGCAGAGCGCATAAATGGTCCATCTTCCCGGAAACTTATTTTAGATCACATGAAATCAACTGTTCGGTTAACAGAAAGTCTGAGTTTGCCGTCTTCTTTCATAGGCGAATTTTAAAACATGTTTTCGTCTGTATGTAACACGAGAAATACGATGGTGACCACAAACTGGCAAGATTCATGACAATCATTGGCAACAAGCACCAGGCCAGCCCGTGCGATCATGCGTTTCTGCAGCATTTCGTGCTGTAGTAAGATCGCTCGAAAACCCAGTAGCTAGAATTTGTGACATACAGGTCCTTTAAGTTCGAGACGTTGATTGTGCAACTACATAGTACTTGACAGGTAACATTCCGTTAAAATTTCAGCTTTCCAACTTTTCTGATCCCCGAATTAGCAATTTTTTCGTCAAAAAATTTCATGGGTCTATACGTGAGAACCATGCATGCCTGGGGATTGATTTTGGTATGTTTAAGTTGTACGGGGGCTGGGAACATTTCTCTAAAATTTCTGGCCCCCAGCTTTTCTGGTTCCCGAGTTACAGATCCTTCTTGCCAAAAATTTTCACGGGACTGATTGTGAGAACCACGTACACCCGGGGCTGAATTTGAAATTTTGGAGTTGTACGTAAGCTTAGAACATTCCTCCGAATTTCAGCCTTCTAACCTTTCTGATTCCCGAAACAACGATTTTCCCGCCAATACTTTCACGCATTCGTACGCGGAGCCCAGGCGTGCATGAGGGTTGGTACCGCGGTTCTGGGATGGCAGTTGGCTGGGAAGCTCACTGACAAAGTTTCTGTGCCGACGCTTGCTTGGTTGCTGAATTGAAATACTCGTACACACACACACACACACACACACACACACACA